GCATCAGCAGCAGGGGCAGGGACGGCGCCAGAGGTAAGGTCAAAGAGAGAAAGGTCGTCTACCCTATCGCACTGCAAGAACAGCTGCAGGTCGTCGACCCAGACCTCAAAGTCAATGGCGCGGCCCTCAGCGTCAAAAGCAAGGACACTGGGGGTAGCCATGACAGCAGTCGACGGTCTCACCAGACAGGACGGGTCGGGCAGCTCAGCAGCACAGCAACACGGCAACACAGCAGCTCGGTCGGCCCAGCAGCAACAGCAGCTCCGCGGGACCAGCGGCTCGGCTCCTCAGGCGACTCGGGCGGCTCGGGCGGCTCGGGCGACTCGGGCGGCTCGGGCGGCTCGGGCGACTCGGGCGGCTCGGGCGGCTCGGGCACTCAGCGGCACAAGCGGCTCGTGCGGCTCGGCTCCTCAGCGGCGCAGGCGGCTCGGGTGGCTCGGGTGACGCGGGTGGCACGGGCGGTTGGGTGTCACAGCGGCGTACGGGCGGCGTGGGGCCGGGACGGCGGCGTGCGGCAGGGACAGGTGGCGCACGGGCGGTGCAGGGCCAGGACGGCGGCGCACGGCTGGGACGGGTGGCGCACGGGCGGCTGGGAGCGGGGCCGGGACGAGCGACGCTCGGGTGGCTTGGGGCCGGGACGGTGGCGAGGGGCCAGGACGGGCGGCGCACGGGCGCCGAGGGGCCGGGACGGCTGTGCGCGGCGGGGATGGGCGGCGCACGGGTGGCGTGAGGCCGGGACGGGCGGCGCACGGCGTCGACGGGCCAGAACGGGCGGCGCGACGGGTGGCGCGGGGCCTGACGGGCGGCACACGGCGCCGACGGGCCGGGACGGGCGCCGCACGAGCGCCTAAGGGTGGCGCGACGGCGGCTCGGGGCCTGACGGGCGGCGCGCGGGCGGCTAAGGGCGGCGCGCGGGCGGCGTGGGGCCTGGATGGGCGGCGCGCGGGCGTCTAGGGGCCGAGACTGGCGGCGCGCGGGCGGCTAAGGGCGGCGCGCGGGCGTCGAAGGGCCGGGACGGGCGGCGCGCGGGCGTCTGAGGGTGGCGCGCGGGCGTCTAGGAGCCGTAGGGTAGGTCGACAGATCGAGAGAGAGAGCCCGGAGTGCGCTCCGGGCAGGAAAAAAAAGGTTCGAAGTGGTGGGCCCTAAGCACAGTTCCCACAGGGGAACCTGCTCTATACCATGAGAAGAATAGAACGAGAATGAAATGAACTATGAGTGAAGTGGGTACAAGTACTAACCCTAATTGGGTTGTACCCCCTATGGGATACCCCACTATAGCCTACAGAAAAGCATAAGCTATAATATTCTGACAGGTTCCGCACGAAAGAGCACCTCCTGTTCGTGGGTTGCTAGTGTGGTTAACCATGGAGAGAAAAATGGCGACGGGTGGGCACGCTAGACACACCGGTTCTTTCGGGGGGGAAGCCTGCAGGCGACCAAGACTTTACGTGGTGTGGAAATTTCCGACATTTACGGGTGCAACGAGCAGTTCCGAAAATAGTTTTTTTTTAACGGAGTCTGGGCTGTCGCTGACAGTATCCGTGCCGACGGCCGACTGCAGTGTTGCTTGATTAAGCGCGCGAAGGCACTCGTCGTCAAAGTGTGTAGCCGTTCAAATCGGAAGCTGCTCGGGGGTACCAGCCGCAACACGAGGGACAATTTTGCAACAGGTGGGGGGGGAGAAGGCGACAGCTGTTTTCGCCCCTGCCCGGAGGTTTTCGGCGAGTCACGACAACACCTATAATGCAGTTGACGTCATCGGCAGTTCAAGTTCGTGTTTGAAAAAATATTGGCAAGGTCAGGGGGAAGAGCAGCAGCTGTTTTCGTCCCTGCCCGGGAGTTTTCGGAGCAACGCGACAAGGGCCTCGGCGAGCCTGGACAAGACGGCCGGGTGCACCGACAGCTGGAGAAGCTACAGCGAGGATTTTCGCCTGCAAACAAGACAAACGGCAGCAATTTCAGGATTGCAGCAGCTGCCAACTGGAGATTGGGCAGCAGTCAAGTGATTCGATACTGCCACGCGGGGGTTTTCGAGGTGGCAGTCACGAGGGATGGTGCAGCAATAGTCGTGACAACAAGACAACACGAAGAAATTCTTCATGCCGAGTTCCTGCAAAAACGATATTATTTCGAAGGGACTTCAACAGAATTTACCCTTGACATTTTCAGGATTTTCGACAGTGAAAATTTCGCCACCGACAGCAATTTCGACTGCACAGCGGCTGAATTTCAGGCGGACGGCCATAATACTTGGTATTCTGCGTCAGGGTGGTTGTGGTTTTTGTGCCCGTGCAGCTGTGCACATTTTGTGGGCAGCAGTTATCTTCCCACGGGGGAGAGAAAGAGTACTCACGCACTGTTCTTGGCAGGTCTCTGACATTTCGGCAGTTATTTCTGACAGTTCGTCCGACACACCCAGCACGACGGACGCACGCGATGGCTTCATCGGCATCGACGGCACCAGATTCATCGATCTCTGACAACGCGTCAGATTTCCTGCCGACATGACGTTCATCAGAGCCATCCGATACACATCGGCGACATCAACGGTCTTCCTTCGTCGAAAGATTTCAAATCGACATTCGCTTTCAAACCGCCCGATCGACATCGGCAGTACCAACGGCTGACATCCCAACTCTTTGAAATTCGCCTGGTCAACGCGCTCAGCCACGCGTCAACTCGAAAGTCAACATGTTTCCGCACCGTCAGATCGGTTTTCGACCGAGATCTGCAGTTTTCACGCTACTGCAAGACTCGCCTACATATAAGGGCACCTTATTTAGAAGGTGGGAGAGTGTAATGAATACGAATTCATTACTGTAGAGGCTGCTCCTAGCGAGGACGACCCCGAGCACTTCGCGTCAGTTTCGAGGTTCGGCCTACACTTCGGCCCGAACCACCCCCGAGTCGCCCCGCACCAATCGCGACACTTCCAAACCCATCCACGTCCCGAGGTCCTCGCCTACCACGGTTTCGACCCTATAAATGCATGCCTCTTTATCATTCTTGAGATCCTGGATTCGACATCCTTTTTATAAAGTCTTCCGCGCACTCTTAGTACATCTCATAACAATCATCAGCAACAGCAACACCTGCATCACACTCAACAAACGCCTCAATAGTCAAGACTATTGATACCTAAAACACTAGAATAAGCATCTGTTGTACTGAATTATAGTGTCTAGGTAACAGTCTGTGTCGATTGGCCGAGTGTAAGAAAGCATACAATGGGTTTTACAGTGAAATACCAGCAGTATCAGCGGCAGCAACAGCAAAGCTGGACCATCAAGCTTTTACACTCAATATACTCCACATTCTAGACGTCAGTGACGTAACCCCCGTCTTCTTCGCGTCCTCCCTCACCTCCTCCCCTCGCGCTGCTCTCAAACGAGCAGCTTCCTGCTGGAAGACCAGCAGCACGTCCCTCGTGGCCAGCTGCAGGAGACTGTGAAGACACCGCTTGAAAATGGATGGCGGTGCAACTGACGGCTGGACAATTTGGCAGAGCACCAGACGGGAAGCCAGACGAAATCCGTCAGGTGCAGTCGGATTCGATCCGCCTGTATCCGTCTTCACGTCTGGCGCTTCGTCGGATTCGTCGCTGCTAGTGCTGCTTTCGTCGAAGCTCGTGATGCCATCGCTTGATTCTGTAGATTCGCATCGGCGGAAGCTGGAATTGTCTGGTAACGATGTAGCAGACGATGCAGGGACAGGCAGAGGCTCGACTCTCCAGAATCCTTCGAATTTCCGCATGAAGCCTGGTCGAGTCAGGGCGAAGTTCATGGTGCGGTTAGGCCTGTCCTGAACCATGCGCATGTGTGCGTCGAACGTGCCAGTAAAGAACGGCAGCTGAAACGAAAACGCCATGTCCATCTCGACCTCCTTCACCCCGTTACAGTCACGCACGACGTGGTGGTTCCGCACCGATTTGATGTTCCTGAACACGCGGCGATTGTAGGGGTCGCACACGAGGCTGAATACGGCATCGGGAGGAAACGCGACGGTTGCAGTGCCGTCTAGCTGGCAGAGCGCGTTTGGGCCGATTGTGACCGTCATGTCAGGAGCTTTGTCCGTCCAAATGGGGTCCAGAAACCACGCTGCTAGCTGGCTGCTCATGGATTCCAAAGAGTCTTCGTTCAGCGACGAGGGTACTAGCAATGGCGAGGTGGAAGTGGTGGACTTGACTGCCATGATGCCAACGTGAGATACAGCAGCCTCAGATTCGGAATCTGACACAGAATGAGTTCGTCACTCTGTAACAAAAGACAGTTCAAATCCCGTTCTGAAATTCTTCCAGGGATCTGGGCCGTCGTGAATTTCGAGGGAGCCTTACTCCAGCGTTCACACTCGCGCAGCGGAGAATCAGGCAGAGAAGCAGCAACTCAGAGAGACTTGGAAACCAGAAGCATCTTTCAGTGAATGAAGGAACTATCGACTGTTGAACTGAAATATAGGATCTCTAGGTTGTTTTGGGTCTTCGTCCACCAGATCGTCCAGCCTGGTTCTGTGGGTTATCACACGGTTTAAAACGGTTGAGGTTCTTCACCGCTGTTGACCGTAATGACCCATGCAGAACCGAAGTGAAGTGCTGAGTGACACCCCCAATGAAAAACCCATTTCTCCCATCGAAGATTTTGCGGTTGGCTGATCCGAAAGGCACATCCTCTGAGCCGTGCGATTGGAATGTAGAATGGTGGTGAGCCGTGCGATAAGACCAAAACGCCAATATTGGTAAATGTGGGGTGGGGAATGCCGCGCCGCGCTCTTGCAGAATCTCTCCGATTTCATCCTTTCTGATAATCCGCACAGGTGGAAATCTTTATTCGAACTATCCAATATATTATTACACACCAGACATCACTTTTCTAGTTCCTACTACTGCTCCCTCCCTGGGGCTCCAGCCAATGCTTCACAGAAAAGTGCAAAACCAGATTGTTAACTTCATCTCGCACCACAAACCTTAGTTGGGAAGGAGCAGATATGGAAAACAGGGAAAAGTACTAGTGTGGCTCATTGATGGCCCTCTCAACAAGTTCAGCTACAGGGAGGGCAGGAGAGCAGCAAAGAAACAAGCTTCTTTTAGCTGCGATTGTCCCGCACTGCTGAAGCACCACTTGCAGATGCACCAAATCCGAATACTGCTCCCCAAGCTCCTGCTGCGCCTGCTTCTCCTCCTGCTGCTTCTCCTCCTGGCCTTGCTCCTGCTTTGGTCCTTGCCTAACCTCCCTCTCTTGCTGTCGCGACATCCCTCTATCCTCCCCAATAAAACCGCTACCCCTGCGTCGCAAAAGCCCTCCACATGACTTGAAAACCCCATATCCGCCACCCACAAGCCTCATCATCTGCTCAAGAACGTTCTCTTGACCAGCAACGCTCCCGTTAACACCCCCTTGACCAGCAACGCTCCCGTTAACACCCCCTTGACCAGCAACGCTCCCGTTAACACCCCCTTGACCAGCCAGACAGTGAGTTTGCAAACCATCCCGGCAAGCCAAATCAGACGTGCCGGCCACACTCCCAACTAATGCCCGTGAAGGCGCCACAGCAGCATCACCATAGCGTTGAGGAGCCTGTGGCATTGTGGAGGAAGACGTGTTTTCCTCCACCAGAGCGCGTGCAAGCAGAGCAGCACGGGGGCAGCGGATCGCCCTGGGCTGCACCTGCAGTGGCTGCAAGCCGCTTCCAGCCTCTACGTTCTTCCCTGCCTGTCCTCCTCCTGTTGCTACTCCTGCTCGGGCCGAAGCTGCTGCTTCGCCCCGGGTGCCAGCTGGCAGTGCAGGTGCCACGTGGACTGCTGATGCCAGCTCAGCTGTTGTCGGCAGGTGCATGCGACGACCGTTTGAAGCTAGTGATGCTTCTGCTGCTGCTGTTGCTGCTACTCCTGCTACTCCTGCTGCTGCTGCTGCTCCTGCTATCGCTGATGCTGCTGTTGACCCCCTATGCTGTCCCCGACCATGCTTCATCCCAGCGTCTCTCACTCCCCCCTGCCTCACCTTCTTTCTTCCCATATTACCCTCGCCAGCTCCCATGCTGAAATCTTCTCTCTCTCCCTTCACCTCTCTCTCATCTCTGAATCCCCTCTTCTGTCCCCTCTGCTCTCCTGCTTTAGCAGACCGCTTCTGTTTCCTCTGCACTGCTGCAGTGACCACTATAACCTCCTCCTCCTCCATCTCCTCATCCTCTCCCCCCTCTTTCTCCTCATCCTCCTCCTTCTCCCTCTCCACCCCCTCCTCCTCGTCCTCCTCCTCCTTCTCCTCTTCCTCCTCTTTCTGAAAACATTCCTCCCCCTCTGATTCAGGTTCTAGTTTCCTTCCCTCCTCCTCTCCCTCCTCGTCCTCCTCCTCTCCCTCCTCCTCCGTCTCTGTCCTTTCCACTGACTGTTTCTCGTGTTTCACTCCTCCCCCAATTTCTTCCCCCTCCTCCTCCTCCTCCTCCTCCTCCTCCTCCTCCTCCTCCTCCTCCTCCTCCTCCTCCTCCTCCTCCTCCTCCTCCTCCTCCTCCTCCTCCTCCTCCTCCTCCTCCTCCTCCTCTCCCTCCTCTCCACAACTCCCCACCATCCTCACTCTCCTCCTCTCTGCACTCCACTCGCCACCAGGCACACCACTCTTACCACCAACGCTCTGACTCCCACTTGAGCCTCCCAACATTGATTCGTCTCGTTTCCTTTTCTTGATAGCAGTGCAAACACGAGCAGCACCAAGGTCATTACCAGAAGCAGCAGCAGTGGTGGTGGTGGCGGTGGTGGTGTTGGTATTATACCTCACCTCACCACTACTGGTAGCAGCAGCGCTAGCATCACCACCATTGGCAGCATCAGCAGCATCAGGGGCAGCAAGGGAGAGAGAGGAGGAGGAGGGGGGGCGACGGCGGTTGAAGACTTGCGCCTGGCGGCGAGAGATCTCCTTTATGCGCCTTTGGAACTGATGCGGAGAGAGAGGGAGGAAGGGAGGGAGGGAGAGAGAGAGGGAGGGAGGGAGGGAGGGAGGAGGTTAGGGAAGGTAACCACGGAAGGGGTTTTGAGTTCACTCGAGTCGACTCAGAAACTTTGAGCCTGGCGGCGAGAAATTTCCTCTTTAATGCGCCTCTGATACAAAAAAAACAGGGAGGGAAAGGGCGGAGTTGCCAGGACGTGGATGGCTTTCGAGTGGACTTTTGAGTCGACTTTTGAATCTACTTTGTGAGTCGAATTTTTGAGTCGACTAAAGAAAATGAGAAACAGGGAGGGAAAGGGCGGAGTTACCAGGCCATGTATGGGAGTTGACTTTTGAGTCGACTCAAAAGTCAAAGGGCGGAGTTACCAGGCCATGTATGGGAGTTGAACGTGAAAAGGACAGGGAGTGGTGGTGGTGGTGATGGTGGTGTGGTGGTGGTGCCATTTCTACGTTCAATTCATAGTTGCTTGCGCAAGAAGGAAATACATTGGTCCTCATAGTGAGCTGAAGTGTTGTGAAGAACGGGAGGAGGCTTTTGAGTCGACTCAAAAGTCACTTAGTCGACTCAAAAGTCACTTAGTCGACTCAAAAGCCACCTCTTTATCTAAGGGGGTTTGCGCAACGAGGAAACACGTTGGTCATCACAGTGAGCTGAAGTGTTGTGAAGAACGGGAGGAGAGGAACGAACAAGGCACACGGGAGGGGGAGGCAGAGAACAAGGGAGAGACAAAGTGAAAGATGGGGATGGGAAGTATGGGGGGGTGGAAGTACGGGGGGAAGATGGGGATGGGGAAGTACGGGGGGAAGATGGGGATGGGGAAGTACGGGGGGAAGATGGGGATGGGGAAGTACGGGGGGAAGATGGGGATGGGGAAGTACGGGGGGAAGATGGGGATGGGTAAGTACGGGGGAAGATGGGGGGGAGGAAGTACGGGGGGAAGATGGGGATGGGGAAGTACGGGGGGAAGATTGGGGGGGGGGGGGGGGAAGTAGGATGGGACGTAACGTAAGGGAAGGATGGGTCACTAAGATTGAGAGGAGTAAACTCACCTCTTCATTGCGCCTGGCCTCCTCTGTATGCAGTGCCATTTCCTGAACAACGGGAGACGAGTGAGTGAAAGAGTAAGTGACGGAAAGAGGACGAGAGGGAGGTGGCTTATGAGTTTACTTGAAATCTGATCTCTTCATTGCGCCTGGCCTCCTCCGTATGCCGTGTCACGTTTAAAACCGGAGTCTCATAGGTTTCAAAGTTAGGAAGGTTGGTTGGGAAAATAGCCGCAACTGGCTCGCGAACTAGGGTGAGTGCCAAAACTGGAAGCCACAGCTCGCTGAGTGATATACTGTCGCGAGGGTTACCAGATCCCGAATGCAACTCGTGAACCCCTTCGCATCGAATTTCGGATTTACAGCAACTTCATTGGGCGAAGTCGTAACTGCTGTCGTCGTTGCTAGTACAGTGATTTCGGGTCGTCAAAATCGTTCCCACACTTCACGAAGTCGACTGTCATCTACCAGTTGAGGCAGTTTTGGGCTGTTTGGGACTCCGGTTTTAATGAACATCAGGAGAGCAAGAGAGGGAGCAGGAGCGAGCAAGCGAGGAAGAGAGGACGAGAGGGAGAGAGTTTTAGAAAGGGAGTGGGTTTGAGTTGACTCAAAAGCTGGCATCTTCATTGCGCCTGGCCTCTTCTATATGCAGTGTCGTTTCCCGAACAACGTGAGACAAGGGAGGGAGAAAGTGAGAGAAACGAGCAAGCGAGGAGAGATCAAACACTTACCATTCCAGCCAATTTATGCTGTTAATCAAGATATTACAACATTCCACTGAACCGACCCCTCAGATACCCCCTCACAGAGCCCTCCTGCTTCTTAGCATCACCCCTTCCACCCACCTCCTTCTCGATCCTGTCTCTGTTGGGGAACACAGCAGCCACCAGCGCATCAAATCGCGGGTCGGCGCGCAGTGACCGCCTGCTGGCGCAGTGCGCGCGGCACGAGGGGCACTCGTTGTTGCTGCATGGAGGTGGGGTGGCGGGGAGAGCGATGGGGTAGTGTGGTACTATTTGTCAAGTCAGCAGACGCGGGTCGGCGCGCAGTGACTGCCTGCTGGCGCAGTGCGCGCGGCACGAGGGGCACTCGTTGTTGCTGCATGCATGGGCGGGGGGGGGGGGGGGAAGGGGGGGGGGGGAGGGAGAGAGGGAAGGGGGAGGTGGAGGAGAAGGGCGGTTCTTAACCGTCCATTGAAAGTTACAAAAAAAAAAACAAGTCTCCATGAGCTATAACGAATCAGAGGGATGAAGACAAAGACACCATTTCAACCTTTCCTGCATCTCACCCAACCCTCCACCTCACCCAAACCTCACTTCACCCAACCCTCCACTTCACCCAAACCTCCACCTCAACCAAACCTCCACCCCACTTCACCCAATTCTCCACCTCACCCAATCCTCCACCTAACCCGACCCTCCACCTCACCCCCAACCCTCCTCCACCTCACCTTCGCCTTCGTCCCACCCTTCGCCTTAGTCTTAACCTTGCCTTATCTCAATTCAGATATCATTGCATCCGAGCCTGAATCCCAACCAACCCGACCTAAGCCTGAAGTTCACCCAAGCCTGACCTCCATCACACCCAAACCTGCATCTCATCTCAACCGAGCCTGCATCTCACCTGACCTTTCTTAGGCTGGGCCAGGCCTCTATCTCACCCGAGCCTGACCTCCATGACAACCAAGCCTGATGTCCATCTCACCCGAACCTGACCTGACCTCCACCGCACCCGAGCCAAACGTCCCTCTCACCCGAGCCTGATGGCCTTGTCGATGCAGTCCCCACAGACACGGTGCAAGCACTCCATCACCGTGCGCGTCCACCTGATGATCCCTGTCTACCATCTCACCCGAACCTGACATCCATTTCACCCAAACCTGACATCCATTTCACCCGAACCTGACATCCATTTCACCCGAACCTGACGTTACCTCACCCGGGCCTGACGTCCTTCGCACCCGAGCCTGACGTGCATCTCACCCGAGCCTGATGGCCTTGTCGATGCAGTCCCCACAGAAGCGGTGCAAGCACTCCATCACTGTGCGCGTCCGCCTGATGATCCCTGTCGACCAATGGGAGACCGCCACGAGTGCAACTCGAGCCATGCAGGAACCGCAAACACGGGGTAACACCGACTGAGGATAGACTCAGAGTTCCTAGAAACTATACGTATGTATACGTATGAGTTGTCTAACGTGGACAGGTGGGCTGCAGATGCCTTTCATTAACTCAGTGAATACATATATGTATAGTAATGTATGCAAAAATGTAACAGTTCAGAAGAAAAGCTGAACCCTAATTGACAAAAAAAAAAAGTAATGTGCATATGGGGCACTGTAGATCTCACCAAGGCATATGGGGCACTGTAGCTCCTTCCTGATGTCTATAAGTGATATGGAGACCATCCTGTAGCGAGAAAGGGTGGAAACCACAGCGTTGCGAAAATGGTGGCATTTCTGGTGAATCGGTGTGTGGGGAAAATTGGTAGTACTTAGGGGACATTGGTAGCTTTTGGAAAAAAATTGTAACACATGGAGAATATTGATAGCTTCTAGGAAAATTCGGTGGCTATTAGGGAAAAGTTGTAGCAGTTAGAAAAAAACTGGTGGCAATTAGAGACAACTCGTGGCAATTCGAAAAAAAATAGGTGGCAATAAGCGGGAACTGGTCGCATTCAGGATGAGATATGGAGACATTAACGAGAACGACAATTCGACTCCATGAATCAGCAGTGGGGGGGCTAACATGTGATACTAATTGGGAATCTAGACGATTTATGAGGCGCCTCAAACGTCGGAGGTTGAGAGATTGCATCTCTCTCGCTGCTATTAGATCGCAGCAACACTCGTCGACAGCAACATTGCGAGAATTTCACTCAAAACTTTACGGAAAAGAACGAACTGCTCAGGGAGTCTGACGGAAAACGACGATTATTACTCAGAGATTGGCGGAAACGAACGAATCGCTCTTCGAGTCCCACTTGAGCCATGAAAGAGACTTACTCCTGTGTGTCGGGCGTCGGCCTTTTTGCCGAAACCATATCGATGGTGGGAGATAAATGCGTTTGTAAGGATGATGGAATGATGGTGCAGGTGACGATATCGATGGCGGTGCGGAGATAAAAGCGGCACTGCCGCGGAAAGAATGGGAGCTAGAAGGGTGAGATCGCCTTCCTGCGAACTTGGGACAGGACAGCCCCCAAAAGTGCACCGCAGTGGTTCCAGCGTGGCAGCGCAAAAGATGCTCTTACGACCTCACCAACTCCTGTGTGTGCGACCGTTTCGAGACTCAACATTCCATCGGCCAATCAACAGAGACTGCACGAATCCATCCCCCTCTGCGACCGCATAGCCATCGCACGTTGGGGCGCTCATCCCAACCTGCGACGTCCACATTCGTCCCCCCGCCACCTCATCACAAACCCCAAAGACGTGCACGTGCGCAATGCACTTTTCGCTGTCCCCACTTCAGGACCGGACACCTCAGGAAGGCGATCTGAGTTGACACAGTTGCGAACGCGCGATCGCTGCAAATTTCTGGTGGTTGCAAAATTGTTCCTGATTCGTTTCATGCGGTTCAGTACGATAAAACATATCAAACAAACGGTTTGCATCGGTGAAAACTCAGAATCGTCTTCAACCCGTTTCTAACGTACTTGACCGCTTTGAACGAACCTGGTACGTAAAACCGTGACCCGCCCTAACTACAGTACGGCAAACAGACTCAAGTTCTGTGCTTTGGATTCGACAGCACCCTTTCCCTCACGTAGCAACGCAACTCCCCTCAACGAGCAGAAATGCAACGAACGTTGGTAACCTAGTGAAGGAGGACCTCTCTGAACATCGCCCATAAAAACCCTTCATTCGTGAACAATGCGATTTGGTCCAGGCACCTTTCGCGACGTCCCTGACGCCGTGATCATATGGGATCTTCAACAGTGGTTGAGGGATGGCGCAATCCCCGAAATCCGCCAACGGGAGATCCGCGATCCTGATGTGCTGCAGCTGAGCCTTTATGAGACAGGGACCACAGCCGTTGCACTTCAATAAATTTATCGACAAAATCCCTTTCACAGGGATTTCATATGTAGATAGTCAGGTATACTAGATCTGAAACAAAACAAGTTTTAGCAGATCTTGGCTACACCGTATTCACGGTCAAGTCTTCCACGCGGTTGCGACTAGCCTTTAGAGTATGGAGCAGACTCTTCTCGTGTTTCCCAAACCCATATCCTTCCGCGGGTACTAGTCATAAATATAAACGACAGCTGCAGCGTGTGAAAACAGTTCAGCTGTGCTTCACCCCTACCTCTCCCTCCCAACAATTCATTTCAGAGTCCATACCGATGAATGTCCCAGATGGACGAGTTTGTCTTGGAACACACCCCGCTTGCTCGTCGTCAAGCCACCGGACGAAGTCCCAAGGAAGGACCATTTCTGGAAGATACTTTTACTATTGGACTCACATGAACTGTCATGAACTCAAACCGGCTATTTTGCGAACTCACACTTGCTCTCTTTTGCAAAAAGCCGGTGTTCGCGAAGATTCGTGAGTACCTGGCGTACGTGCTCAGAGTGTTCTTTCAATGACTTTCTGAAAATCAGAATGTCATCAATGAAAACAATGACAAACCGATCAAGGAAGTCACGAAAGATGTTATGCATCAAGCACATGAAGGTGGCAGGGGCATTTGTGAGTCCAAAGGGAAGTACAAGGAATTCAAAACGCCCATATCGGGTTCGGAATGTTGTTTTGTCGATGTCCTCTTCAGCGACGCGAACCTGATGGTAACCGCTTCGAATGTCAAGTTTGCTTAAATTTTTGGCCTCGCCGAGTTGTTCAAAGAGTTCCTCCACTCACGGCAACGGGTATCGGTTCTTGATGGTGAGTTTGTTGAGGGCGCGGTAGTCTATACACATGCGAAGGGAGCCATCCTTCTTTTTCACGAAAAGAATGGGGGCTGCGTAAGGGGAAGAGCTGACACGAATGAAGCCTTTTTCAAGGAGTTCCTCCAGTTGAGCTTGGACTTCCTTCAGTTCAGCAGCGCTCATGCGGTAGGTAGCACGAACAGGAGGTTCAGATTGTAAGAATGTTATGTTTGACTATCCTGCAGTGGGGTACTCAATAGTGAGTACAACCCAACTTAGGGTTTCCTATATGTACTCAACTGCTTGCTAGTGAACCCCTCCTCTTCTTCATTCCTCATTTTTTCACATGATATCAAAGCGACTACGCTCCTGGCCTGTGGGCCCCACCTAACTGCTTCCGCTGCTACTCTGTGTTCGGCACGCCCCCTGGCGTGCCCCTCGCGCTACTCTTAGCGGCCCCGTTGCCGCCCTTCCAGGCCCCTCGCGGCCCCTTCGCGGCCCCGTTGCCGCCCTTCCAGGCCCCTCGCGGCCCCTTCGCGGCCCCGTCGCCGCCCCTTTCGCGGCCCGTCGCTGCCCTTCCAGGCCCCTCGCGGCTCCTTCGCGGCCCCGTCGCCGCCCCTATCGGCCCCTCGCGGCCCCTTCGCGGCCCCGTCGCGGCCCCTATCGGCCCCGTCGACGCCGCCAGCGGCCCCGTCGCCAACCCTAGCGGCCCCGTCGCCGCTCCTATCGGCCCCGTCGCCGCCGCCAGCGGCCCCGTCGTCGCCGCCAGCGGCCCCGTCGCCGCCTCCAGCGGCCCCGTCGTCGCCACTTGCGGCCCCGGCCCCGCCCCGGCCATGCCCCGTCGCCAGCCGCGGCGCACCGGGGGCACGTGCACCGCCCCCCCCCTTTTCCCGTCGTCCGTCGCGGCTCCTTCGGGGGCCGCGGGCGATCTGGGGGAGGGAGGCGAGCATCGCCCCTTCTGCCGCCTGTTTTGGCGCCCTGGGAGACCGCGCGTCGCCCCCCCCCCCCCCCGTAACCTCCCTGCCCGCCGTCCCGCCCTGCCCTGTGTTAGGGTCTGGGGGTGGCGAGTAGGGGGTGACGGGTGTGTGGTCTCCCCTGCTCCTCCTCCTCCTTCGTCTCCCACTGCTGCAGCTGTCGTTCAGGGGGGTGGATGTGTGGGAGCCTGGGGTTTAGGGTTTAAGGGGGGTGCTGTGGGAGTGGAGCTAGGGTTTTGAGGGAGGTGGATGTGTGTGAGCCTGCAGTTTAGGGTGTAAGGGGGGTGCTATGGGAGTGGAGCTAGGGTTTGAGCAGGGGGTGTGTGTCGAGAGGTGTGGGGCAGCTGGAGGAGGTTGGTTGAACGGAGGTTGTCGTCGTGTCGTCAGCAGCACCAGTAGTCCGGGGCGCTGCTCCGGTAGCCCAGTCGTAGCCAGCTGTGCCAGTCGCCCGTGGGACCGTTGCTCGTCTGCCGCTAGTCTTAGCCGCGGAGCCAGTTACTCCAGTAGTCCGGAGCGCTGTTCCGGTAGCCGTTGTGCCAGTATGACTCCTGTTGCCCGTGTGTCTGCAGCTTCAGCCATCGCCTCCTATCTCCTCTCCTCTTACAGTCTCGCCTCCTCCTCCTCACTTGCCCTTTGTGAATGACTCTAGCTTTGCTCGCTATTGTGAACTCCTGCTCTATGCCTGCTTGCTCATTGTGCTGATTACACCCCACTTTGGCTATGGGGGTGTGTCAGAATGTTATGTTTGACTAGCCTGCAGTGGGGTACTCAATAGTAAGTACAGCCCAACTTAGGGTTTCCGATATGTACTCAACTGCTTGCTAGTGAACCCCTCATGTTCTTCATTCCTCATTTTTTCACACAGATCCAAGTTGTAGCACGATCCGGTGATCCACTGAGCGCTTGGGAGGAAGTCCTGCTGGGAGGTCTGAAGGAAACACGTATTGAAAATCAGTGAGGACTTTCTGAATTTCTGCAGGAGGAGTAGAATTTGGAGAAGAAGGAGTTGAAGGGGCTTTTGAGGTTTGTTGAAGCAAGCAAACGAAGAATTGAGCCTGAGGGTCTTTGGAAAGCTTCTTTAGCTGTCTCATAGAAATCACACTGCAGCTGGGTGAGGAAGAGGAGGAAGAGATGGTGGGAAGATTGATTTCAGCTCCACTGTGCACGATGGATACTGTTCCAGCAGTCCAATCAATCCGTGGGTTCTTTGATGAAAGCCAATCACGCCCGAGGATTAGATGATGCTCTCCCAAAGGCACTTGCTGGAACTGGAGCTTGTCTTTGTATGAGCCCATGGTGCAGCTGATTGGGAAAGGGGTTGGGCCACACGTGATAGAAGCTCCGTTCGCCATCTGCACTGTTTGGGAATGGGAATCTTGCTAGATAGGAAGAGATAGTTCAGAGACAAGGTTTGATGAGATGAAGTTGGAAGAAGCTCCGCTATCAATCAGGGCCTTCAAGGTACGGTTCCGTATGCTTATGGAAAGGAGAAGGGGGTTGGATGGGATGGTGTTTTCAAGAGAGATGATGGAAGGGCTCTGCAGGTTGCCAGAAAGTCGCCCCAAGCTTACTGGCGGTGACTGTTTTTTGGTATTGGAAGCAACGGTGGTCGGTTGGAGCGTTCGCGGCAAAACCTCCACACATGACCTTTCTTGCCGCACTTGAAGCAAACGACATCGGGCTTCACAGGTTTCTTGCCCTTCTCCATCACGTCCAGGTCCATAGGAGCAGGTTCTTGCTGGTTGAATGTTGCTGAGGATGATGGCTGATGGGAGGGGGCAAAAGGGAGAGACGGGTTGCGAGGAAATTGTGCCTTGTATGCGAAATGAATAGCATCATACCGTTCAGCGACACGTATCATTTCCTCGAGCGTAGTGCAGTCCCTTAGCTCGACCTCCATGCGGACGTTGGATTTCAGGCCACGCTTGAAGCGATCCATTTTTTCAGCAGTGGACAGGTCAGGTATCTCTTGTGCAACATCACGGAAGCGCGCCGCGTACTCCTGGACGGATTTGAGTTGCTTGAGGGCAGCCAAGCGGTCACGAGCTTTGAGTTCCGGGTTCACTGGTTGAAAAGCAGCCGTGAAGAGTTGCTTAAACTGCTCCCATGACTGAACAGATGTGTGGATGGATTGCCACCAAGTGATCGCAGAACCTCGAAGAAGCGTTCCCGTGAATGATGCCCACTCAGCAGGTGCAACGTGGCTCAACAGCAAGTATTGCTCGACAAGGAATAGTCATCGACTCACGACTGGCTGAAACTTTCCTGGCGTGAAGAGATCTGGCATAGTGGGTCTAGCGCGCTGATTTCCATCTGAGGGTGCAGGAGTATTCACACTTGCTGCCACCGAACCGGCTGCAGCTATACTGGCTCGAATTTCAGCTTGTAAGCTCTCTCGAAGTTCAGAAACGATTTGGGCCCGGTAGTTCTGCAAAAAAATAGCCCAATCCTCAGAGGACGGAGGTCCTATGTCAGACGTCATGACGTAGTCCTAGCAGGAAGTCGAAATCTAGCTCGGATACCAAATGGAACAGCTCTAGGCTGTTAGAGTTTCTGAAGGCTAAAGCTTGGAGAGTCTAAAATGACAAGGTAAACTCAGTAGCATAAATTCTGTAAATTTCAGAAAGCAAGAATGGCATACAAGGGACGAAGGACTACTCTTATACACACTTCTATGACTATGGCGCCTTGAGAAGGTCGTTCAGGTCGCCATTAATCCTATCTCTGCTGTCATCAGCAAGGAACGGCTATGTACAAGCAATGATAACAATCCTATGCTGGATCCTAGCTGTTTATATAGAAATATGCAAAGTACAATCATGAGATGGATCTAGAAAGGTATTATCTGACTTGGTCTTCGACTTCATGATGATGGCACTTAGATATTGTGGTGCTGGAACGTAGTTACAGCTGTATGGCGTGACTTATTGCTCTGCTGTCGTGAAGATGCCCTTGTGCTTTCTTCTCTGCTGCTTTACTGGTTGGGAATTCACGTGTGCTTTGAGAAATCCCGAAGCGCACATTTCAGGTTGAGATTTCCAACCTCGAATTTGACATTTCAGGTTGGAGTTTTGGCGAAGGTTACAAGTTAGCTAGTGAGAGAACTTTCCTGTGGTGAGTTCGCCTTCGCCCTGTAACAGCTAGGAAGTCCCAAGGAAGGACCATTTCTAGAAGATACTTAGACAATTGGACTCACATGAACTGTCTTGTTACTGTAGAATAGCAACATAATGTCTCAATTTTATCTCATCCCGCTAGGTCTTGTTCATCCTTCCAAACTAAAAACTAAATTTATTCCGTGTTCCGACTCGCCTTTCCAAGTGCCCTCAGCTGTGTGTGGCTTGGCTTGGCATGTCAGCGCAGCTTTGTTGTGTTCGTCTGGTTTGCTTGTTTTCCACTTGTGTACCATATGCATCCCCCGTCACACCGCCTCTGTCGTCCTCAGTCCCAGTCGCTGTTTTTTTGTACAACTTGTGTCAAGGGCGTAGCATTGTCATTTGTTGATCTTAACAACCCATAAGAGTTTGAAGTATCTCCACTTAGTTTTAACCTCAGGCAGTTCCATTCGCTTGACCCTCTCTTGTCAGGCCTTCGCCATGGCTCCTTCAACCGGCATATTCTCTCACACGAAAGCCTCGCAGCAGCAACAGGAAAAGCATCAGAAACAGCAGAACCAACAGTCGCAGCAGCGGCAGGAGGAGCGACAGCAGCGCGCGGCCAAGCGGCCGGCCTCCCCAACAGCGTCTTCGTCCAACGGCGCTCCGATTAGACCCGGCAGCAGGCCGTCTCCACGAATCCCCTCGTTCGCGTCCCCGCGCGCTACTGTCACACCCGTTAGTGTCAATGAAGATAAGAGTTCATCCGATACTTTGAGTTATCGTACTAGCATAAATGGTCATAATAATAGCAGGGTTCTGATTGACTCCGAGTTGGAGGATCGAGTGAGTACAGTTGCCGAAATGTCGACAATACATTATGTTGAGAGACCGACTATACTGTCAACGCACACGGGTCGAGATTCAGAGGTCGCCGGGATGTCGACGATGGGAATAGTGGTGGGGCATTCGCACTCGGTGCAGTTCGTGCTGCGGCCCGGCGACGGCGCGATCATCCACGCGAGTAAAGGAGCGGTCAGGGCGCTCGGTTACTCGCGCGACGAGCTGCTATCGGTGGGTCTGCACCTCCGTTTGTCTGGCTCTTGCGTTTTCTGTTGCAGTCTTTTTTTTTTGCTTTGTTTTGTTTTTTTCTCCATTTTTTTTTCCGTTTCGTTTTTTCTTGTGGCGTCCTCGAATGTATGGCATTTGTGACGGTGGCTATGCGTTCGCCGCTGGCTTTAAGATATAGCGAATTCCTCGCTTGCTATCGATCACCCAATGTTTCAGCGCATATCCTCCCGGTACGTCGTGATTCGACGTGCTCCCCCCTTGGTTCTCGATTTATGTGGACCGGAATTCTAAAATTTGTGAAACCCGTTATGCCCCCCCCCCCCCCCCCCCCCCCCCCCCTTTTGTTCGGCTTTTGTTTGTTTGTTTGTTTTTTTGCTTGTATTTTTGTTTGCAAAATAAAACCAGAAGTAATTCTCCTCAATCCTTTTCCTCCGCGCCCCGAATGCTCCATTTTTCGCCGCGCAGCAACGGCTTTCCACTACCTACGCCATCCACCCATGATTGAGAGCTGAAGTTGAATTCCCCATCTTCCCCCCTCACCCCACCGCTCACTCCCTTCCCCCCTTCTGCTCCCCCTCCTGTGTATTTACTGCCTTTCCTCTCCCGCTTTCCCCCCGCTTCTCATCCCCCTTCCGCCTTCCCCAGACGTCTCTTCTCCGCCTGGCTGCGCCTTTCCCGCTCAGCGACTGGCGCGCGGTCGTGCAGCGCCTAGAGTCGGCGCAAATCGAATCCGTCGCGCTCCCCCTCACCCTCACGTGCCCCGCCGCTGCACCCGCCGCCGCTTCTGCCTCGTCCGCCGGGGCTGCTGCTGCCGCGGCGGCGCTTCTAGGTGCGGGGGAAGGCGCATTCGGCGGGGGGGACGGAGGAGGCGGAGGGGGGGTAAGGGGCGGAGCAGCAGGGGGAGTCCCTTCCGAAGGGGGAAGCATTTCGCAGCGGAATCCTCACTTTTCTGCGCTTTCCGCGCATGTAGGAGAGGCGGATGGGATATCGAAGGGTAAATCAGGCGAATTGTCCGCTCTGGCCTCGTATCCCGGCACCCCCGGAGGCTCGTTCACACTTTCCGGGGGAACTTCCCCATTTAGGGTTTCTAGCCCCACCCCGTCCACCTCGCCGTACGCTCTAGACCCCCTTGCGGCGATGTCTGAATCGGAAGGAGAGGAGGGGAAGGGTGTGAGACGGTTCACCAAGCAAAGAACCGCGTCTGGAACGGATATGGGTCGGTTTAAAGGAGGCGGTGATGTGCTTATAACGGGGTTTGACTCAAGTGACGGAGTAGGAGAGGAGGGGGGAATGAGGGGTGGAGGGGCAAGAGCAGGTGGTAGTTTCGGTAGTGGCGGTGGTGGTGGTGGTAGAGGGGGAAGAAGTGGACCAATTAGCTCGGAAATTGAGGGGCGTTTCGATGCAATACCCTCATCCCCGTTTTCCACCACCTCGTCATGGGAACCTCCTCCTCCTCCTTCTTCTCTTCCTTCTTCGGCTGCCCCCCTTTCTGCTGCTCCTGCTGCTGCTGCTGATCCTCCCGACAGCATCAGCGCCAGCTCTAGTCTGGTTATCACCACCCCCACCACTGTTACCACCGGCAGTAGCAGGGGCTTCGGCAGCAGCAGTGGCATAGGGACTAGCCGCACCAGCTTTACTCGTGCTGACAGTGAACCCTCCAGCAGCCGCTTTCCTGGCAGCACCCTTACAACTAGTAGTAACCTTACAGGTAGGAGCCACACAGGCAGCGGCCGCACAGGTAGCAGTCACACGGGCAGCCGTCACACAGGCAGCAGCAGTGGCAGTGGCGTCACGGGGTTCAGGGGCGGTGGGCTGGGTTTTGAGTCGACTCAACACACAGGGTTCAGGGGCGGCGGGTCGGGGAATCTTATAGCGAGTGAGCAGCTGGGGGTGGAGACGGTTGATATGGGGCAGATGGAGCTGCCTGTAACGGGTATGGCGGGGTTTTGGAGTGAGGAGGAGGGGAGGGCGACTGGGGAGCGTGCGAGAGGGAGTGAGTGGAGCAACAGAGAGGGTGGTGCTAGTGGTGATGCCAGTGGTGGTGGTGGAGGAGGGAGTGGGGGGAAGGACAGGCAGCAGGTGCTAAACAAGCAGCAGAGTTCCTCTGTCCACGCTTCCGCCGCCCAGGGTTTGGCTGTGCATGATGCACCTGCGTCTTCCTTCGCCTTCCCCCCCAGCCACAGCCCCACGATTGCGGGAAATAGCTCCTTAAATGCAGGAAATTATTTCTCACCCCCAGGGCAGCTTCTGGGACTCCTCAGAAGCAATTCAGGTTTACCTTCCGGGCAGAAGAAATCTTTGATGCCGGAAAGCAGGGAGAGCGGGGCGAAAGAGAAGGAAGAAGGTGTGAGGGACGGGGCGACAGGCGAGGAGGGGGAGGAGGAGGAGGATTCAGAGGCAGCAGCAGCAGCAGCAGCAGCAGCAGTGGCAGCGGGAGTGGGAGCGGAAGCAAGGAGCAGTTTCAGCTTTAACGTGCCTCGCTCCCTTGTGCCTGTGTCTCTTAGCTGGAGTGGTGCCACTGCCACTGCCACTGCCAAGTCTGGTGCTGCTGCCCCTGATGCTGTTTCTTCTGCTGCTGCTGCTGGTTCTGTCGCTGCTGGTGGTGGTGGTGGTGGTGGTGGTGGTGCTGGTGATGGTGGTGTGGAGGCAGTAGGGCATGGGGGGATGGGGGGCGGAGGAGCAAGCATACATGGGCCAGTGGACGAAGGGGGTAGTTTGAGCTCGGTTTGGATGGGTAAGTGGCGCAGCAAGAGCAGCAGCAGAGCGAGGTCCATGGACGTTGCTGATCCTGCTGCTGTGGCCTCTGCTGCAGCTGGTATTGCTGGTGGTGGTTATGCTGCTGCTGTTGATTATGCTGCTGCTGGTGGCGGAATCAAGAGCAGCAGCAGAACGGGGTCAATGGAAATCAGGGATCCTGCTGCTGTGGCGGCTGCTGTTGTGGCAGAGCATCAAGCTGAGCTTGCTGCTGCTGCTGCTGCTGCTGCTGCTGCTGGCAATGCTGCTGGTGCTGGTGATGCCGCTGCTGTTGCTGCTGGCTCTACCGCTGCTGGTGCTTCTGGTGCTAGTGCTGGTGGTGCTGACAATGCTGCTAGCAATGCTGCTGGCAACGCTGCTAGCAGTGGTGCTGCGGGCAGTGCAGGCGGCAGTGTGACTGGCAAGGGCAAGGCATCGTGGTTGTGGCACATGCTGAGGACCACCTTTGGGTCGGTAATTACCCCTCCATCCCCCCGCCGCACTGCTACTGCTGCTGGCAGCGGTGCTGGCGGCGGCGGCGGCGGCGGCGGTGGTGGCGGTGGTGCTGCTGCTGGTGCCGCTTCAGGTTCTGGACCCAATAATACTGGTCGAGCTAGTGGTGGGTCTGACGGTGCTTCCAGGGGCAGGAAGAGTGCTGGGTGGAAGAGAGGAGAGGGGCAGTGGAGAGCAGACGGGGAGAGGAGGCGCAGGAGTGCGAGTGGTGTGGACGTGCAGAGGAGAGTGAGCAAGGAGGGAGAGGAAAGGGGAGAGGGAGAGGAGGAGGGAGAGGGGGAGGGAGAGGGAGAAGGGGGGGCACTGAGAGGCCAGTCCGTGACAACTGGATCCGCTGAGCTGCCTCGCTCTGTCCCTCATTCCTTGTCTCTTCGTGACTCTGCTCCTGGTGCTGCTGGTGCCAGTGCCGCTGCCGGTGGTGCCGGTGCTTCCGGTTCTGTTGGTGGTGCTGCTGGTAGTGGTGCTGTTGGTGCTGTTTCTGTTGGTGGTGCACATGTGAGTGGTAGCAGGGATTGCAGCTGGGAGGGCAGTAGAGAAGTCAAGAGAGGTGACAGGGGTGGTAGCAGCAGTAGCAGGGAAGACAGTAGGGGGCATAGCATCAGCAGCAGGGGTGACAGTAGGGGTGACAGCAGGGGGGGCAGCAGGGGGGTGAGCATGAGCAGCAGGGGAGGCAGTTGTGAGATGGTGCATGTGGCTGCGGTGGTGGATTTGCAGCTGTTTCACATCGGAGGGAGCTCTGACCTCGTTGCTACAGGTGTGTGTGTGTGCATGCGTGCGTGCGTTTGTGCGTGCGTGTGTGTGTGCGCGCGCGCGCGCGCGCGCGCGTGTGTGTGTGTGTGTGTGTGTGTGTGTGCATGCGTGTGTGTGCATGCGTGTGTGTGTTCTGTGTGTGCGTGTGTGCGTGCGTGTGTGTGTGTGTGTGTGTGTGTGTGTGTGTGCGCGTGTGTGTATATGTGCGTATGTGTGCGTACGCACCACCCGATTCCCACAGCAACAGCAACCCACGCACGCCTAATGGATCACCTCAAACGATTATTCGGACAGCTGCGACCCACACGGGCACCTAGGTGACTTTTGAGTCGACTCAAAAGTCACCACGCACTCCTAAAGGGTCACCTCAAACGCCATTACCCGGACACCTGAGACCCACACGGGCACCTCCCACACACTGTTGAGGCGCCTCAAAACTCGTGGCCGCTTCCTCCTGCGTGTCTCTGCTTTTGTGTTTGTGCCTCTCTCTCTCTGCAGTGCACTTGCATCCTCCCTATTCCATTCCGTCTTCTCGCTCAGCATCTAGGCAGGCAGCGTGGGACAGCTCATTCCCACGAGATGACCACGAGATGACCACGAGCATCAAGGCAGGCAGCGCGAGACAGCTCATTCCCACGAGATGACCATAACTGCCCGCTGTCTCATTTCATTCCCACAGCAGCAGCAGCAACCCACGCCTTTTAAGTGGGAGTGGAAGGAACAGGGGACAGGCAACCCAGGCCTTTTAAGTTGACTCAAACGTTTCCTTGTGTCCCCCTTCCTCCCGTGCCTCTGTGCTTCCCACAAGCTTGGGACAGCTCATTCCCACGAGATGACCACGAGATGACCACAACTGGCCGCTGCCTCATTTCATTCCCAGCAGCAGCAGCAACCCACGCCTGTTAAGTTGACTCAAACGAATCCTTGTGGCCCCCTTCCTCACGTGCCTCTGTGCTTCTGTGCGTTTGTGTCTCTGCAGTGCACTTGCCGTCTCACTTCTCCGTACCTTCTTCTCGCCCTTCATCCGGACAGCTCATTCCCACGAGATCACCTCAACCCCCCCAGCAACAGCAAGCTACGCCGTTGCACCACTCACAGCAGGCAAGGCAGCAGCAGCAGCAGCAGCAGAAGCAACAGCAGCAGCAGCAGCAGCAGGAGGCACAGGCACAGGCACAGGCACAGGCACAGGCGCAGGCAGGGATGAGAATGGAGGTGCAGGCATCAGGTACAGTTGATGGTCAAGCTCCGGCGCTGCCGCTCCAACCTCCTCCCGACCTCTTTCTCCATCCCCACCCCCACTCCCAACCCCACAACTACCCTCACTCTCACCCGTATGCTCACTCACTCCCTCACTCACTCCCTCACTCACTCTCTCACTCACACCCTCACTCACACCTCTCGAACAACCTGCAACACCAACAGCAGCAGCAGAAGCAGCAGCACATGCAGCATCAGCAGCAACACCTGCAGCTGCAGCAGCAGCACATGTCTCAACCGCCTCTTATTTCGCCCCGCCGTCCTCCTTCCCCTCGTGGTGTGAACCAGAGGCAACAGCACCAGCAGCTGCAGCAGCATCAGCATCAGCATCAGCAGCACCAGCAGCAACACCCCCAGCAGCGGCATGAGCAGCAACAACAGCACTCGCTCCCACTCTCTACTGCACTCGCTCTCACCTCCCCTCAGTCCTCATCCCTCCCTCTCCCTTCTTTCCTTTCCTCATCCCCCCACGGCACATCCTCCTCTCGTTCACTCCACCCCTCTTCTCCCAGACCTCTTTCCCAAGCCACATCCCCCCTCCCCCTCCTCACTCCCCAACGTCCCCACCCCTCGTCCTCCTCCTCTCCCTCTCCTCTCTCCTCCCCCTTCCCTCTCTCCTCACACTCTCCTCACTCGCCCTTACCGCCCACCACCCATTCCCATCTTACCCCACAGCCCCCACCCCCCCATCTCTCCTCAACCCACCTCATCACAAGAACTTCGTTACAGTCACCTGCGACAAGCTCTCTAGCGTGGGAGAGTGCTTCCTCTTATCAAGATGTGCTTACAACGGAGGCTGTGGAGAGGGGCAGGCCACTTCTCGACCTGGCAGGCATAGGGGCTGTGACTCTAACGTGGGAAGAGGGGAGGGTTGCCCTCTGCAACCCTGTGGCCAATAGGATGCTTGCGGGGAGATTCTCGGCCAATGGGGCGGCTCTGGGCGGAGTGCCAGCGTGGCAGGTGGAAGGGCGGGTGCTGAGCGATTTCGTTGATGAAGCCTCGCGTGGTGCTTTCGTGGTGAGTGGAGTGTGGGAGGTGGAGTGTGGGTAAGTGGGGGTTGAGTGGGGGTCGATTGGTGGGCATTGCATGGGAAGCAAGGTGTGGGGGACGAGGAGGGTTAGATGCTGAGCGATTTTGTCGTGAAAGAAGCTTCATGCGGTGCTGTCATGGTTAGTGGAGAGAATGGGAGGAAGAGTGTGGGGTGAGTGGTGGTTGTTGCATGGCAGTGCCATCGTGGCAGGTGGAACGAGGTGACTTTTGAGTCGACTCAATAGTCACTTGGTTGTTGCATGGCAGTGCCAACGTGGCAGGTGGGTGGAACGGCGGGTGCTGAGGAAAGCCTCACGCGGTGCTTTCGTGATGAAAGGGGTTTAGGGTGGAGTGCTTTCCCCCTCACGCGGTGGAGTGGGGGGGACGAGGAGGGTGGGAGGGAGCGTTGTGGGTGTGCAGGTGGAAGGTGTGTTTTGAGTCGACTCAAAACGCAGGTGGAAGGTGTGTTTTGAGTCGACTCAAAACGCAGGTGGAAGGCTGGTTGATGCTGTGTGATTTCGTTTATGAATCCTTGTGCCCTGTTTTGATGGTGAGGGGTAGTGGAAGGTTGAGTGGGGTGGGGAGGGTGCAGGCGCGCGCAGCTCACAGCAGGAGGTGCGGGTGCGAGCAGCACATGGGGCGAGGCAGGAGGTGTGGCTTCTGAAGCCCCCCTCCTCCTCTCGTTCACTGCTCTTCCCCTTGTTCTGCCTCTCTTTCCTCCCCCCTCTCTTACAGTCCGACTACACCAGTGTACACAAGGGCATGGTGCAGCGCACGCAACAGGAGGTGCGAGTGCGAGCAGCAGACGGGGCGATCAGATGGGTGCGACTCACATGCCAGCGCATCAGAGCAAGCTCGCCGGTCATGATGCGTTCAGAGGGTGAATCACTTCACAACAGCACAAGTGCGGAGGGTGGTGTGCCTTCGCATCCGTGCATCAGCACATCCCCGCCACTGGTCACAACGAGTGCTGATGGCTGCCCGACTCACAGCACCGTTGCAAGCTTATCGGGCCAGAGTGCGGAGGGTGGTGGCGCTCCTTACAGCAGCATTGCAGGCTCGCTAACCACACATGGGAGGGGTGATGCTTCTCATAGCAGCCCCGCTCGCTGTTCCGTAGGACAAGGAGCAAGCGAGGGGGAAGGAGGAGCTGTAGCAGAAAGGGCTGTAGCAGGAGGAGCTGTAGCAGAAAGGGCTGTAGCAGGAGGAGCTGTAGCAGAAAGGGCTGTAGCAGGAGCTGTAGCAGAAAGGGCTGTAGCAGGAGGAGCTGTAGCAGAAAGGGCTGTAGCAGGAGGAGCTGTAGCAGAAAGGGCTGTAGCAGGAGGAGCTGTAGCAGAAAGGGCTGTAGCAGGAGGAGCTGTAGCAGAAGGAGCTGTAGGTGGAGACGTTGCAGCTGAAAATGCCAGAGCTGGGGAGGCTGCATCTGTGGAGGCTGCAACTGAGCTGGTGAACGAAGGGAAAGGGGAATTCGGTTTGAATGGATACAGAGGTGATGGGAGGGGTGTGGTTATTAAGAGACCAGGAAAGGGGGAGGAGGAGGTGGAATGGAGAGAGGAAGGGAAGGATGAGCGAGAGGAGGACGAGAAACAAGAGCAGGAGGGTAAGGCACAGGAAGAGGAGGACGGGATGGAGGAGGGGAAAGAGGAAAGGAAAGAGGAGCGCGAGGTGGGGGGTGAGGAGGGGGGAGATGAGGAGGAGGCGACAGCGAGGGAGGTGCAGGTGCTGTGTCTCCTGGAGGATATCAGCGACAGGAAGACACTGGTATGTACGTGGGGTGTGCAAACAAGTATGCTTATAACGGGTATGTGGTGTACCAATGGTGTGGTGTGGGTGGGAGGTGCAGGTGCTGTGTCTATTGGAGGATATCAGCGACAGGAAGGCACTGGTAAGTGTGTTGGCTTGGGTGTGCAAACAAGAATGCTTATGATGGGTATGCGGTGTACCAGTAGTGTGGGAGGTGAAGGTGCCAGTCTTCTGGAGGATATCAGCGATAGGAAGGCACTGGTATGTGTGTGGGTGGCTGGTGTGCAAACAAGAATGCTTTTAACGAGTATGTGGTGTACCAGTAGGTAGCATGGGAGGAGCAGGCGCTGTGTCTACTGGAGGATATCACGTTCCCTCCTTTCCATCGCTTCTCTCTCTCTCCCACCCACCCCCATCAGGAGCAGAGCATGTGGAAGTACAAGATGATGGTGAAGAATCTACCGGGGGAGCCGTTTTGATGACCAGGGCGCTGGACAGAAGGCAGGAGGTGCTCATCAACTCTACTGCCGCCCACCTGCTGGGGTGCCCCTCTCACCTGCTCACGCTCCCCCTTTCTCCGTCTATCCCTTGCTCCCTTACCTCTTCACAGGAGCAGAGCATGTGGAAATACAAGATGATGGTGGAGAACCGCTTTGCCTCTCTCACTCACTCCTTCCCTTATCACTCTCGCCTGCCCACCCCTGGTCTTAACAGGAGCAGAGCATGTGGAAATACAAGATGATGGTGGAGAACCGCTTTGCCTCTCTCACTCACTCCTTCCCTTATCACTCTCGCCTGCCCACCCCTGGTCTTAACAGGAGCAGAGCATGTGGAAATACAAGATGATGGTGGAGAACCGCTTTGCCTCTCTCACTCACTCCTTCCCTTATCACTCTCGCCTGCCCACCCCTGGTCTTAACAGGAGCAGAGCATGTGGAAATACAAGATGATGGTGGAGAATCTACCGGGGGGCGCCGTGCTGATGACAAGAGCACTGGACGGCCGACAGGAGGTGCTCATCAACTCCACCGCTGCCCACCTTCTCACGCCCCCTCTCTCCCCCTCTCTTGCTCTATCGCTCTCTCTCCTCCCCTCTCACCCCTCAACAGGAGCAGAGCATGTGGAAGTACAAGATGATGGTGGAGAATCTACCAGGGGGCGCTGTCTTAATGACCAGAGCGCTGGACGGTCGACAGGAGGTGCTTATCAACTCCACCGCCGCCCACCTGCTGGGGTGCGCCCGAGGGGACATTGACAGCGTGGAGAAGTGGTTCCGGGCGCTGCATGGGCGGGAGAATGCGGCGAAAGCGCAGAGGAAGTACGAGGGGAGAAGGATGGGCGCTGCGCGGAACAACGTTTTCAATACTGTGCTGCCCATTCGGGTGCGTATTTACGTGGGTTGGGGAAGGGAGGAAAGGAAGTGAGGGGAGGGAGGGAGGGAGGGGGGGAACGGGGGGCAGGGGCAACAACAGGAGGTGCTCATCAACTCCCCTGCTGCTCACCTGCTAGGGTGCGCCCGAGGGGGCATTGACAGCGTGGAGAAGTGGTTCCGGGCGCTGTATGGAAGGGAGAATGCGGCGAAAGCGCAGATGAAATATGAGGGACGGAGGATGGGGGCTGCAAGGAACAAAGTGTTCAACACCTGGATGGGGGCTGCAAGGAACAAAGTGTTCAACACCTGGATGGGGGCTGCAAGGAACAAAGTGTTCAACACCTGGATGGGGGCTGCAAGGAACAAAGTGTTCAACACCTGGATGGGGGCTGCAAGGAACAAAGTGTTCAACACCTGGATGGGGGCTGCAAGGAACAAAGTGTTCAACACCTGGATGGGGGCTGCAAGGAACAAAGTGTTCAACACCGTGCTGCCAATTCGGATGCGTCCCACTCTCTCTGTCTCCGCTCATCCAGGTGCGTGCCAAGGCTGAGTTGGGGGGAAGGGAGGATGGGGGCTGCACAGAACAATGTATTCAACACCGTGCTGCCCATTTGGGTGCGTACTTGGGTTTGGGTAGGGGGAGGGAGGGAAGGAAAGGAGGGAGGGGGGGCATGGGCATGGCTCGTCAACAACATCACAGTAGGCATGAGCAAACCGCGGTTCGGTTTGGTGCAGTCCGCTTCGTATTTTCCGAACTGAAGCGGTTTTTTTGGCTTCCGGTTCGTCAACGAACTGGTTCGTGCGGTTCGTTTGCGACACATTCCCGAGCTGCGACAAGCCGACGCTGGTCCTGCAAAGATAATCCAAAAAACAAATTGTTGGAGCTCATTTCGAGCTTTAACTCTGTCATTGTCTCACATTCGTGCGTTTCCTGTGGTTCTTTCTTAGTTTTCAGCTGGTAGGACCATATTGAAAGTTCACTGGAGAAACGAACCGCTTCGGTTCGGTACCGAACTGGGCTGGTTCAGCCAAACCAATTCGGCTAGTTAGTTAATATAGTGAACCACGAACCGGCACCTTGCAAAACCGGTTCGTAAACGAACCAGTTCGGTTTGGTACCTGTACATGGTTTGATTTGACAGGGCTAGGACATCACAAATAGCCGAAAGAACATCTTGTGTCCCTCCTCTCTTCCCCCACATGGTCGCACACACCCATCCCTGCAGAGCAAGGACGGCTCCAAGTTGCTGCTGGACGCCACGTCCTACTCACTGGGTTTAGGGGACATGTGGCTCTGTCAGTGACATCGCAGAGAGGCACAGAGAACTTGTCTCCCTCTCGAATGGTCCTTTCATCAATTAGAACTTGTAGGACAAAGAGCTTGTCTCCCTCTCTCTCTTCCCCACACCCACCCACCCCACCCATTCACCCACCCCTCGATCCCCCACACCCATCCCGGCAGCGCAAGGACGGGTCGAAGTTGCTGTTAGATGCCACGTCCTACTCGCTGGGCTTTGGGGACATGTGTCCCCAACATGGCATCGTGAACGACATCACAGAGAGCTGCAGTACCAGCCTCTTTCCCTCTCTTACCCCATACCCACCCCATACCTACCACCAACCCCTCCCTTGTGCAGCGCAAGGACGGATCCAAGGTGCTGCTGGATGCCACATCCTACTCGCTGGGATTTGGCGATATGTGGCTGGTGAATGACATCACAGAGAGCCGCAAGAACCAGTTCAAGTTCAAAATGCTCTTTGAGCTCTCGTCCGTGAGTTTCCTGGTGTTGGTACCTACCTGGTGCTCTGGCGTATCTTTCTTTTAGGCGCCTTTTGAGTCGACTCAAAAGTCACTCCGTGAGTTTCCTGGTGTTGGTACCTGGTGCTCTGGTGTGATTTTTTGTTTTCGGCGCCTCAAATGTCCTCCGTGAGTTTACTGGTGTCGGTAGTAGCTGCTGCTCCGGTGTGTAGTCTGCTCCCCTCTGTGAATGATCGTCTCTCAGTAGCTGCTCTCCTTGGTGAGGCTGCTGGTTGTGTGCCTAGGTGAGTGCTCATATCATATGTCCTCGATGATTGCTCTCCTAACTTTTGAGACGTCTCAAAAGATGATTGCTCTTCTAACTCCCGGCAGGACCCCAAGCTACTCGTTACAAAGGACGGCCGCGTCTCTGACCGCACCCCCTCATCTCCCCCTCCCCCAACCCCCTTTTCCTTCCCATCCCCTTTCCTCAATCCCTGGCAGGACCCCAAGCTACTCCTAACGAAGGCGGGGCGCATTTTTGACTGCAACCAAGCAGCAGTGCGGATCCTCAAGTGCCCCACCAAGGAATCCCTTCCCGGCCGCACGCGCTAGCGCCTCCGGCCGCCTCCTATCACCCCTTTAACCGCCCCTCCGCTTCAGAACACCCCCACCCAGGCTTCTCCCCTTCCCCTTACCATTCACCTTCCCCTTCCCCTCGCTTAACCCCGGCAGGACCCCAAGCTACTCCTGACAAAGGATGGCCGGGTGTTTGACTGCAACCAGGCGGCAGTGCAGATCCTCAAGTGCCCCACCAAGGAGTCGCTTCTCGGTCGCACGCCCTGGCGCCTCTCACCTTGCCTCATCCAACCAGCCTTCTAATCGCCCCTTAGCCCCGGAAACCCCCACCTTGGCTTCTCACCTTCCCCTTCCCCTTCCCTTTTCCCTTCCCCCTATCCCCTGCTCCCTGCAGGACCCGAAATTGCTGCTGACAAAGGATGGTCGTGTCTTTGACTGCAACCAGGCGGCAGTGAGAATCCTCAAGTGCCCCACCAAGGAGTCCCTCCTCGGTCGCACGCCGTGGCGCCTCTCGCCTCTCCAGCAGCCCACCACCAAGCAGCCCGCCTCCGCTCTTAAAGCCATTCTCGCCCACCTCGCCGCCTCCAACCAGCCCTCCAACCGATCCTCAGGCTCGGGAAACTTCTATCCGGGCCTCTCCGGTTCGTCGTCACCGTTTCCTGCCACCCCTGCCGCCACCGCTGCTGCTGCCTCCGGCTCAGCGGGTGGTTCGGCAGGAGTCTCAGCAGGAGGCTCGGCGGGAGGCTCGGCAGCAGCAGACGCAACCAGTGGCCTGGCGGGAGACTCGGTGGGAGGCACGGGGAACAGGTGGCGGCGGTTCGAGTGGGTCTTTCGGGACGAAGAAGGAGGAGAAGTGCTGGTCGAGGTCCTCTGCCGCATGGTCGAGTTCTTCGGTGAAAATGTCTACCTCATGGTGTGGCATGACATAGCCGAGGTGAAGCGCAAGGAGGCGGACTTGCAGCGGGCAAAACTCGAAGCGGAGAAGGCGAGTTTAGCGAAGACCCAGTTCCTGGCGAATATGAGCCACGAGATTCGGACCCCGATGAACGGCGTGATCGGGGTCGCGGAGCTGTTACTGGATACGCCCTTGTCGGAGGAGCAGCAGATGCTGGTGAACACGATCCGGTCGTCGAGCCAGGGGTTGCTGCATATCCTGTCGGACATTTTGGACCTGAGCAAGATAGAGAATGAACGGATGGCGCTGGAGTTTGCAGAGTTTGACGTGAGGGAGCACCTTGCGCACTCGCTGGCGCTCTATGAAGTTTCTGCAAGAGACAAGAAGCTGCAGGTGAGAGTGTGAGAGGGACGGGAGAAGGTGCAGGCGTTTCAAGGCATGTCGGTGAGAGTGTGAGAGGGACGGGAGAAGGTGCAGGCGTTTCAAGGCATGTCGGTGAGTCAGATTGGACCTGAGCAATTTTGAGAATGAGAGGATGGCGCTGGAGTTTGCAGAGTTTGACGTGAGGGAGCACCTTGCGCACTCTCTGGCGCTCTATGAGGTGTCTGCCCAGGATAAGAAGCTGCAGGTGAGAGGAGTGAGAAGCGAGAGAGGAGAAGGTACCATGCGAGATAGATTTTAGCAGGCGCGGTGAGGGTTCCAGCAGGCGCAGTGAGGTTTTAGCAACCTCCCTGTTACCCCCCCCCATTCACCTCAACTGCTTTGTTTGTTTTGTTCCCTCTCTCCCCCATTTCCCTCTCTCCCCCCTTTCCCTCTCTCTCCCCTTTCCCTCTCTCCCCCCTTTCCCTCTCTCCCCCCTTTCCCTCTCTCCACCCCTTCCCTCTCTCCACCCCTTCCCTCTCTCCCCCCCTTCCCTCTCTCCGCCCCTTCCCTCTCTCCCCCCCTTCCCTCTCTCCACCCCTTCCCTCTCTCCACCCCTTCCCTCTCTCCCCCTTCCCTCTCTCCGCCCCTTCCCTTTCGGCCACCTTCCCTCCCTGCCTCCCCGTCACAGCTCAAGTCCCACGTGAGTCGCGACGTGCCCCTAAAGATCCTAGCAGACGCAGTGAGGGTGAGGCAGGTTCTTCTCAACCTCGTATCCAACGCCATCAAGTTCACCGCCCGCGGACGCGTCACCGTGCGCATCTCCACCCACTCACCTCAACCCCTCTCCCTGTTGCCGCCATTCACCTCAACTGCATCGTCTGTTGCTCCCTCACTCTCCCCTCTCCCTCCCTCCCACCCTCCCTCCCCCTCCCATCCCAGCTCAAATCCCACGTGAGTCGGGACGTGCCCTTGAAGATTCTGGCAGACGCAGTGAGGGTGAGGCAGGTTCTGCTCAACCTCGTATCCAACCTCCTCTGTACCCCCCTCCCGCTCCCCCTGCAGCTCAAATCCCACGTGAGTCGCGACGTGCCGCTGAAAATCCTAGCCGACGCAGTGAGGGTGAGGCAGGTTCTGCTCAACCTCGTATCCAACGCCATCAAGTTCACCGCCCGCGGCCGCGTCACCGTGCGAATCTCCACCGTCGATCCCGCCGACTCGGGCGGCAGTGGCGGCGGGCGGCGGCGCGAGTCGTTTTCGTCCCTAGCGCCGCTGCTGCAGCTGGAGGAGAGGCGGGGGGAGCCCGTGGATAAAGTCCTGCTCAAGTATTCAGTGTCAGACACGGGAATCGGAATCTCCAAGGACGTGCAGGGGAGTCTCTTCCAGGCGTTCACACAGGTACATACAGGGGGGTTAAGGGGGTTGGGTAAGGGGGGTAAGGGAGGAGGAGCAAGCAAGCATGTGCTATAGATGCAGCTGGAGGAGAGGCGGGGGGAGCCCGTGGATAAAGTCCTGCTCGAGTATTCAGTGTCAGACACGGGAATCGGAATCTCCAAGGACGTGCAGGGGAGTCTCTTCCAGGCATTCACACAGGTATGGTACGGGCGGGGGGAAGAGGGAGGGAGGAGAGTGCTCGCGTGTGCTATAGGTGCTGCTGGAGGAGAAGACTTTTGAGTCGACTCAAAAGTCACTACGGGAGGGGGGGAGAGGGAGGGAGGAGAGTGCTCGCGTGTGCTATAGGTGCAGCTGGAGGAGAAGCGGGGCGAGCGTGTGGGTAAGGTTCTAAGCATTCAGTTTCGGATACTGGTATTGGGATTTCCAAGGATGTCCAAGGGAGCTTGTTTCAGGCATTCACACATGTAAGGAGGAGTAAGGTGAGGGGGCATGCACTCGGGGGGGAGGGGGAAGGGAACGAGCGTGCTTGCATGCACGGTAGATGCAGCTGGGGGAGAGGCAGGGAGAGGCAGGGAGAGGCAGGGAGAGATGGATACAGGCACCAATTGTTTTCCCCTCCCCCCTCGCCAGATGAACGGTGAGTGCAAGAATGAGACGTAACAACACTCCTCTCCCCACCACCTGCCCCTTTCCACTCCACTCGTCGTCCCTCCCCGTGTTTACCAGGCGGACAACACCACGTGTTGTAGGTTCGGCGGCACAGGGCTGGGGCTGGCGATATGCAAGGCGCTGGTGAACCTCATGGGTGAGGCATGACACTGCTTCCCTTCCCCATTCCCCTCTTACATTCCCCTCTTCCCCATCAGGCGGACAACACCACGTGTCGGCGGTTTGGCGGCACGGGGCTGGGGCTGGCGATATGCAAGGCGCTGGTGAACCTCATGGGGGGCGAGATGAGTCATGGCACTGCTGCTCCGCTTCCTTCCTTCCCTTCCCCATTTCCCAGGCCGGCGGTTTGGCGGCACAGGGCTGGGCCTGGCGATATGCAAGGCACTGGTGAACCTCATGGGGGGGGAGATCTCTGTGACCAGTACTGAGGGGCAGGGCTCCACGTTTGAGTTCATCGTGTGTGCTCTCCCTCTCCCCCGTACCCTGTTTCCCAGGCGGACAACGACCTGTCGGTGGTTCGGCAGCACGGGGCTGGGCCTGGCGATTTGCAAGGCTCTGGTGAACCTCATGGGGGGCGAGATGAGTCATAGCACTGCTGCTCCGCTTCCTTCCTTCCATTCCCCATTCCCCATTCCCCATTCCCCATTCCCCATTCCCCATTCCCTTCCCCAGGCCGACAACACCACGTGCAGGCGGTTTGGCGGCACGGGGCTGGGCTTGGCGATCTGCAAGGCTCTGGTGAACCTCATGGGGGGGGAGATCTCTGTCTCCAGTGTGGAGGGGCAGGGATCCACCTTTGAGTTCACCGTCTGTGCGGGAGTGAGTGAGGACGTGGGCCAGTGTGGGTCAGTGAGTGAGGAGGGAGACGGGGAGGAGGATGAGGGAGTGTATGATAGTGTGTGTGACAGTGAGGATGAGGAGGAGGGAGTGGGGGAGACAGATGAGGAGGGGCATGAGGAGGAGGAAGAGGAGGGGGAGGAGGAGGAGAATGGGGATTCAGGTTCGGAAGATGATGAACCGGAGAACTTATCTCGCTCGCGGACCACCCGAACCTCCCTGGATTACCGAGCCTTGACTGTCCGAGGCTCCTTAGGCCTCCCGGTCCGCAGCCGAACTGCCAACTCAACAATGGGTGCAGGTTCGCGCCGTCTGGCCCTCACCATACCAGCCACAGGTTCGGAAAAGAGCAGAAGCAAGAACAAGTTAAAAGGTGCAATTAAGGGAGGAGCCCAAGTCTCGTCAGGTTCGGACCAGACGTCCAGCCGAGGTACGGCAAGCACCGGACCATTTTCCCCCACCACAATCGCCCAGGCCAACGCTTCTGGTGCGTACGGAATTGCCAAAGCTGCTGCCGGAGCTGCAGGTTCGGCAACCAGCCTCGGAACCACTAGCGGCCGAAGCATAGCTGGTGGGCGGCATCGCTCGTTTGAAGAAGCAACGCCAGTGCTGCCGGCTGTAGCGCGGCAGTGGAGAGTGCTTGTAGCAGAAGACAACAAAGTCAACCAGTTAGTGGTAACCCGCATGCTCAAGAATCTAGGGCTCAGATTCGACGTCGTGGACAACGGGTTGCAAGCTTTGGAAGCTTGTCTTAAGAGTAGATACGATTTGGTTCTGATGGATTGCCATATGCCGGAAATGGATGGGTTGGAGGCTACTAGGAGGATTAGGAAGGCCGAGGCAGAGAGGAGTTGTCGGAGTGAGGGGGATAGCCGGAGTGATTGTAGTGATGGTGAGAGCAATGAGAGACGGAGGAGGGAAGATGGGGATGCGGGTGCTACTGGTGCAGCAGCTGCTGCTGCTGGTGCTGCAGTGGCGGCGGGTGATGGGTTGAGTGGGAGTGGCAGAAGCAACAGGAGCAGTGGTGGTGCTGGTGGTATGAGCAGGAGTGGCAGTACTAAGAGGGCAGAGAACGCTGGTGGGCTGAGCAGGCGGGATAGCGGAAGGGGCAGTGGTAGGTTTAGTGTGGTGGAGAACGGCAAAGATGGAGGGTTGGGGGAGCAGGAGCAGCAGGAGGGAGAGCAGGCGCCAGTGGTGATAGCGGCGCTGACAGCGAGTGCGTTTGACTTTGAGAGAGAGGCGTGCTTTGCTGCGGGCATGAACCACTTCCTCACCAAGCCCATCCGCCCCAAAGACCTGCAGCAGCTGCTGCTCTCCCTCGCCACACCCTCTTGATGCTCTGCACAACTTGAAACTCAGGGAAAAGGGGGCGAAGCAGCAGGAGGGGGAGCAGAGGCGTGCTTTGCTGCGGGAATGAACCATTTCCTCACCAAACCCATCCGCCCCAAAGACCTGCAGCAGCTCCTGCTCTCCCTTGCCACTTCCCCGCCAAAGGCATGAGCTGGTCGCGTGAGATATGGACCTGTTCTTTTTGGAACAAGCGGGCATTCACAAGCTTGTTGCTCCATGGTGCACACTTTTTGGTCTACTGAAAAGTCCATCTCTTTTTGAAGGTGGTGTGTGCATCGTGCCAACCCTGGCAAAATCCCTTGCTCGGCTTGTCACGTCACACACGCCTGCGTGACACGTGGCGTGCTTTCAGACTAGTTTTCCCATGTCATGCCACATGGCGTTCGTGCCATGTGGCGTTTTTTTATGGCCACTCTCCCACGATACGATACCACTGGTGGTGATTGGCTGGCGAGTTATAATGTGGGTGGCATGGTGTAGAGTGTCAAATGTTGTCGCCTTTAGTGAGGTTTGTCTTAGGGGGTACAGAGGTTAGGGTTTGTCATATGTACCCCAACTCACATCAATGACATCATCACTTCCTTTCTTAACATGGTATCACCTAGGCTCGGATCCCGTGGGATCCCGCTCCTCCCGACCTCGTTCGTTTCGCCCGAGCCTGTCTCACTCTGTCGTACTGGTTGCGCACGTCTTGCCCGAGCCTAACGCCGGCCCGCTCTAGTCGCGTTCGTTCGTTACCACTCGTTCCGCCGATCCACTGCTCTCGTAGCGTAGCGACCTTCTCCCCCCCCCCCTCCCCCCTGTTGCCCATCGCATTTCCCCCCCCTGCTGCCCGTCGAGTCGCGTTTTTCCCCCCGCTGCCCGTCGGGTCGCGTTTTTCCCCGCGCTGCCCGTCGAGTCGCGTTTCCCCCCCCGCTGCCCATCGAATCGCGCCTTCCCCGGCCCCCGTCGCGTCGCGCTCTCCCCACACGTCGTCCCGTCGTGCCCTCCCCCGCTACTCGTCGCGACGCGCCTTCCCCCCGCTGCCCTAAACGCCCGTCGCGTCGCGCCTGCCCGCCGTCGCGTCCCTACCCCCGCCCTACGCGCCCGCCGCGTCGTCCCTACGCCCGCGCGCCCGCTGCGCCTGCGCCTCCCCGTGCCCTACGCCCTGCGCCTGTCGCCCGTCGCCTCCCCACGCCCTTCGCCCGCGCCTCCCCGCGCCCTGCGCCCGTTACCTCCCCGCGCCCTGCGCCCGCGCCTCCCCGCGCCTGAGTGCTCGCTGCGCCCGTATCTACGCACGCCCGCCCTTCGCCCGCTGTGCTGTCTTGTCTCTTTCTGCACGCGTGCCGACTTGCTCGCGCTGCCACGTCTGCTCGCTTTCTCCGCCGCTGCGCCTGCTTGTTAGGCCTGCTGTGAGCCCTCCCTCTGCTCTACTACGCGTCCTGACGCTCGCACTTCCCCTATGGCGACTCCTAGAGTTCTTCGTTTTGACGCGGATGGTCGACCCCTCAAGTTCTCGGTCTAGCTCCTACGCGCGCGTCGCTTTTTAGTGAGTCAGGTCCAGGCGGGTGAGTCCCTCTGGGCGCACGCTACTGGTGACCTTCCTACGCCCGACGACCCTACACCTTTAGGCTCTGCCCCTGACGACGCTGCTAGAGCCCGCTTTGCCAGCCAGTGTGCTGACCTAACGGCGTGGAAGTCGCGTGACGCTGCGGCGTGCATCGCTCTTAGCAGCCTCCTCCCTGAGTCTGAGGAGGCCCACTTCACTCAGGTTCGCACTGCTAGTGAGCTCCTGACTGCGATTAAGGCCCGCTACACTACTCCCACCACTGTCTCTCTTGGTCGACTCTTCCTACCGTTCCTGTTCCCTGACCTCGCCTCGTTTGAGCGCTCTGCTGACTTGATTGCTCACCTCCGCTCGCTTGATTCTAGCGACCGCGCTGCCTGCACTGACGCACGGCTTGCACTGCTCCCTCCCCCCATGGCGATTACTATCTACTTCATCGCCACTAGCCTCCCTGACCGCCTTGCCTCAGTCCGTGACACGCTTCTTCTGAAGCACCCTAGTGAGCTCACTATCGAGGTCCTTGAGTCTGCGCTCAAGGACGCCGAGAGCAATCTCCGCTCCGTAGCCTCTGCCTCTGGTGTTGTGCCCCCTCCACTGTTCCATGGGTGCACTGTCCCTCAGCTGCCCACCTTTACAGCCTCTCTCGCCACTGCTGCTACTGACGTGACCGCAGCTGCTGTTACGACTTCTTCGCGGTCTCGAGGTAGAGGTGGCAAGAGGGGCGGTCAGGGTATAGGTGGCGGCGGCGGTGGAGGCGTTGGCGGCGGAGGTGGCGGGGGTGGCGTGCCGACTAGTGGCGGCGGGAGTGCAGGGCCTGGAGAGGCGTCACGTGCAGCGGACGGTGACCCCGCTACTGCAGCTGGTGGAGGCGACGCCCGGGCTCGTCAGCCACCTTCTGGTCTGCCGGCCGCGGCGGGTGGAGCAGCAGCGTGGTACCTGGCCCAGCGGCAGCAGCAGCAACAGCAGCAGGAGCAGCCCCTCCCCCTGCAGCACCCCCCGCAGCAGCAGCGGCAGCAGCAGGTTTCGGGGCCAGGACAGCGTCAGCCTTAGCGAGGTGTTGTTCACCCTTCGTTCACCTATCAGCTTTTCACAGGTGCTCGCCGAGGCCAACCTTGTGGTCGCACCCACCCTCCTGGTCAGTGCTTTGCTCAGCTCATTGACACGGTTCGCTTGGCCTACGGCGTTGGAGGCCCTGCCCCTGACTGGTTTCCTCTTGTTCAGACGTACGGCCCTGCCCTTTGGGGCATGTCAGCTTCTCAGTTGCTTGATCTCTTAGGAACTCCTCATGCTATGTATGCTGTTGTTGACTCTAGTGCTTCTTACTCTATTTACTCGAGTGTTGCTAGCTTGGGTGCTTGTCTTGCTGAGTTGCCTCTTGCTAGTGTTTCACTTGTGAAGACACTAGTCCAGGAGCTCGTTCGGAGGACGCTTCGCTGTCTTTCACTTTGGACTCTAGGGCTTCGCACTGCTTCTTCAGGGACCACACGACACTTACTCCGCTTCCTGCGCCAGTCTTTGTGGCACTGGCTGATCCCACCTCGGGACCAGTCACTGCTCGCTACACTACTACTCTCCCGTGCCCTGCTGTTCCCTCTGGGTCTCTGACTGGCTTCCATGTCCCCTCGTTCTCGAGGAACTTGGTGGGCATGAGGCCTCTTGTGAGTCACCACGTGGGTGTGTGGATTGAGCCCTCTGGTGAGACGGCGGTTTGTGTTGACGGAGACACTTACGCGCCTCTTGCCACCTTTACAGCGGAGCCGAGCTCAGGTCTCTACACACTTCACACTGACCCTGGTGTGCAACAGCAGCAGCAGCAGCAGCGACTCTTGCCCCTGGCCCCGGTTACTTCCCCCAGTCTGGTCCCTGCGTCTCACCAGGTTGCTGCGTCCCCCCAGGTAGCTATGTCTGGTCAGGTTCCCGTGTCTGGTCCAGTTGCTGCGTCGTGCTCCTGCCAATCGCTTGCACACCCCACCGTTCTGTGGCACCACCGGACGGGGCACCCGTCCCTCCCTCGTCTGCGCGCTATGTCTCGTCAGCGTCTTGTCTTAGGCCTCCCGCGTGTCTTGCCGTCGCTGCCGCCTTCGCTTGCACCGGCGTGAGGTCCCTGCGTCGAGGGTCAGCTGCGCGCCACCCCTCACTCCTCCTCCCTTCGTCCGGCCACCGAGCCTTTTGAGACGCTCCACTTGGACGTCTGGGGCCCCGCCCCTCGCCTTGGCCCTGAGCGCGAGCGTTTCTTTTTGGTGGTCGTTGACGACTACTCCCGCTACACCACAGTGTTCCCCTTGGCGAAGAAGTCTGAGGTGACTTCTACGCTGATCAGGTGGTTGCTTACCACTTAGGGCACTCGTGGTCGTCGTGTCGGCTGTCTTCACTCTGACCGTGGGGGTGAGTTTCGCTCCGGCATTCTCGCTGGATTCTGTCGCGAGCAGGGCATTCGTCAGTCCTGGACGCTTCCAGAGTCCCCACAGCAGAATGGGGTTGCTGAGCGCCGCATAGGCTTGGTCATGGAGATCGCCCGCACCTCCTTGACTCACGCCCGTGCCCCCATTTTCTGTGGCCCTATGCGGTTAGGTACGCTACTCACCAGCTGAACCTCTGGCCACGCGTCTCTCGGCCAGAGGCTTTACCGACCAGTCTTTGGACCGGGTCCCCTGGTGTTGCGTCGAGGTTTTGTGTCTGGGGTTGCTTGGCTCTTGTCCGCGACACTTCCGCGGACAAGCTCTCGCCTCGCGCCGTTCCCTGTGTCTCCCTTGGTTTCCCTGAGGACTCCTCTGACTTCACCTTTTACCACCCTCCCTCTCATCGGTTCTTTGACTCCTGTGACGTCCGTTTTGAGGAGTCCACCCCCTACTACGTCAAGTACCCCAGTCGAGGTCTCCCGGTTCCTCCTCCCCCTCTCTTCCTGACTTCCGCTCCCCCTCCTGCTCCCCCGGTACAGCCTACCCCCCCTGGTCCCGCCCCGTCAGGTGTGTCCCAGGCTACCCCTCCCCCCTCGGTAGCCCCTCAGGTGCAGCCTCCTTCCCCACAGTCCTCCTCGCAGCCTGCTGCAGACCCTGTGGGAGCCGGTGCTCATAGAGAGGGCCCTAGAGGTGCTAGCTCTGGGGGTGCTAGAGTTGGAGCTGAGCCCGTGGTTGCAGTAGACTCTTGTCTTCCGGGAGCTGGTGCTGGTCCTACTGACTTTAGGGGTGCTACGTCTGGGGGTGCGGGTGCACCCTCTTCGGGTCCTGGTGAGCCTAGTCGTGTTGCTGTTGGTGGTGCTGACTCTGGGGGTGGTGCGCCAGGTGCTTTGGAGGGCGGTCCCGGGGCTGCCGCAGCCCCCGACACTACTCCTCCCCCCCACCCCTACCCGACCCGGCACCAGGCTCGTATTCGTCGTGCCCGTGAGGAGCAGCTGGAGTTGGAGAGAGAGGAGAGAGAGTTGCAGCGGCTGGAGGAGCAG